ACAAAACCTGAAGCCACGTGAGATCTGAAAGGTTTCTGGTACACAGCCAAGCCTGTGTCTGAGGTCAGGTTTGTTGACAGGGTCACAACCCATACTAGCAGTCCTGCACTGCTTGTACAGCACATGCTTCACCTTCCCAAGACTTTCTGGAGATAGAAAAGTCAGGGCAGGCTGCAGAAAAGATGCTTTGTATACAGATAACCACAGATATGCAGGGAGGAATCCTGTGTTGCGTAATGCCCGGCACCTCTCCAAATGATCTGTTTTGCACTGGCCTCTTCCAGGAGACACTCAGAAAGTGTGCCTTGAGAAAGGTTTGTCTCTGGGATTGGTAACAACCCTTCTTGGACTCTCTCTGCTCCTCGTGCTGTGATCCACGTGTGGCTGTGTGTGGAAACATGACATGGGCTCAACATGGTATATGTGGAATGCAAAATCAAGGCTTCTGTGTGACAAGGATTCCCAGGACACAGTTAGGACTCTGTCATGCTCATCTCAGTTATACACAGAAGCAGTGAGTGCAGAGGAGTTGGTCCATCATCTTCCCTGTCTGACTCTTCTCTGCCATCTCATTCTGTTTCTTGCAGCGAAGGGGTGCTTTACCAGAAGAGCTTAGTGAAGATGCAAGCAGAGGGGTGTGCAAAATCATTCCTGTGGTGCCCTACCAAAAGTCCCTGCACTAGGGAGAACAGGCATCTTGTGACTTTCCACCAGTTTCACAATGTAGAGCAAGAAGATGCTGTTCTTTCCATACCCATTTCCATACCCATTCTGCATATTCAGATGTTTCCATTAGTGTCCTTTCTCAGTGTGAGGAGAAAATTTTGCAGTAGAATAGGAAACAGAAAACTAAGCAAGGGGGAGAGGGAAACAACTTGTCACAAAGTTTTTGCAATGCTTGTCTAAAAAGCAATGTTTTGTAAATCTGTTTCCTACCATCGAATTACCCTCAGCACTAACACTGTGAGACCTGAGCTGGAAAACTTGCCTATGAGCATATAGAGGATTTAGGCACACACACCTTGCATGCTTTCCTTCATCCTGGAGCGTTATCTCTGCAGCAGTGTTCAGCTTTAGAGACAACAGACTGAGCTCAGCTCCCATTGGGATGGGAAAATCTCTCCCCTTGTTCTCAAAAAATTGCTTTTCTAGGGTTACATACATTACAAAATGGCAGTTATGAAAACATGATGTACTCCATATATTCTTTCTTTGGTTTTGTTTCTAATTGTAGTTCAGACTACTATTGTGTTTATTATTTTCCAGTTGAAACAAATGTTATTCTTTTTCTGTCAATTCAGAGCTGAGCCACAGCCACAAACCCAGCACTGAAATATCTGGTGCTTTGTTCTTCACACTGGTCTTCACACTTTGATGACCTAAAAGTAACCTAATGTTTCTGTGCTGGTTTAATTCCTGCTGCTACACCGACTTCAGTATTAAAACACATGAATTTCAACAGGAAAGAAAAAAGATCTGGAAAAATTATTTTTTCTAGTTGGCTGTAACACTCAAGGGAGGAAACATCAGTAGGGCCCCATTTTAGCAAGTTACAGACAGCTGGACTGTATTTATGCTGCAGCCGGAGCAGCCACTTGCCTCTGAAAGTTGGGATCTGACTGGGGATGTTCAGCCTCCGGGATTTGTGGGCCACAGCTGTACAGCAGTTTCTCAAAATCTTTTTTTTTTTTTTTCACTTTCCAAAGCTGAAAACAGCATTTGAAAATGTGAACAGGTAGCAACTAGTCTCAGAAATCAGATAAGTGAGTGGGCTCTCTTTATGGAGAGGGAGATAAGGACAGACCAAAAGACTGTGCTGTGTGTCAGACACTGGCACTTTCTAACACTCTGTCAGCTTATGGTGGGATTGTTTCCCAGAAAGCCTCTGTTCTGTCCCAATAAATCACCTACTGCAGCTCTAGCTCAGGGACATGCCTAGTTCTGCAACTCCTCCAGGAACTACTAGTGTTGGCTGTGGGAAACCGAGGTACTATAAATCCTTTTATTGCTTTAAGTGTTGCAAAGCAAAAGATACACAGCTGTGCTGCAAAGCACGTGTTATCAGGGTGTCCTGCTCGCACACATAAGGAGCAAATCGCTGTGGCAATTTCTTTATCAAACAGGTCTGACACCCATATCCCTTCTGCATACCAACTACTCTCCTAGGCCTGGACACAAACACTGTGGTGGTCTGTGTAGCCTGTTTCAGAGGCGGAAGGGGTTTTTTTTTTTTGAGGTCTACCAACTGCTGAATGTAAGTCTTTCACTGCTTTTGAAGCCTTAATTGGGAAAATGTAAGGGCTTTGGGGGGTGTATTATATTGGCTGACACACTTGAGTTTCCAAGGAGAATTTTATGGTGGCAATGCAAGAAGGTTTTGCTTTTCATCTGTCTCTCACAGAAACCTGTGTTTTCTATATCTGCTTTTCTTTGGGATATTCTAGTTATAAAACAGTACTTGATAAGACTCTTAATGCTACTGAAGAAATTAACCTCTCTCTCCCAGTCTTAGTCTTTGCCATCTAGATGCTGGTGCTCTGGTCGACCTCTAGACTTGTTTTTTGGTAAACAAAACTAAACAAAAGACAGCTGTCCTGAAAGACTGAGAGTTACAGGTCACTGCAGGCAGGCTGGGATTTTCCATGCCAGCCAGAGATATCACTGGGCATCGCGCTGATGTCTTGGCTCAGGATCTTAGGTAGGTGTTGGAAGTTGCACAGGGAGGCACTGATACAGCTTCTGGACAACATGAAACAGCAACCTAACCACATGTTTCCTACACTGCCCGAGATGGAAGACATTGTGGTCAAAAGCTTTGTTTGACAGGATAGCCAAGTAGAAAATGTCACCTACACGCAACAAATTACAGCCTGTCACAGCCATGCTCCACACAGACCCTGACGGCTCTTGAAAGCTGAAATCATGTACCCTCCCACCTGTACAAAGTCAAGCAAGTTGCTTCTGCTGTGCCACCAGCAGCCACGCTGAATTGCCAGAATTAGGCATTTTAATGTGGGAAGTGAAAATGGTGAAAGTTTTGCACTTTCTGCCCTGCTTTTTCCTTATCTCTGACAGGATATGAAGCATTACCCCCTACCAAGGTAAAGGATTTCTCAGCTAGACGAAATGATTTGCAGGATGAAAAACCACATAATGACGGGCATGAGACAAGTGCTAAATTTACTACAGCTCTGTACTGGCTAATCTTGCATGAAATTAAGCCATTTAGTAATAACTGTCGCTTCGCATCCTGCTTCTGGGTTACTGCAAAACACCAGTGTTGTTTCTTAGCTCTTACAAAATCAACCATATAGCTTTGGCAGCATACTCAAAAACACTGTCATCTCCCAGCACATTGGAAATATCAGTTGTTTGCCAGAAACAGCTCCCTGGGGGTCACACAGAGTCTCTGCTAGGAGTCAAGTGTTCCAGGTACTCACAAAACATTTGCCTTGAAAAGCCACAGTGATAATTGACTTGTACAGGAAGGTCTTTAACAAACTGCAGGAAGACTGTGTTTCTAGTGGCTCCATCAGCACAACTGATAACTGCTGCTGAACTTGGTGGAACAGGTTGTTTACATGTCTGATAGACAGTAATATGCCATTATGCAGACTGCAAGAGCTGGTTTTGGCCAGAAAACAGCTCTAGAGGATCTGTCAGCATATGTTGTTTTTCAGTTCTGCATCTCTTGATGAATGGTTTGTAGGGAAAGTAGGTTTTTAAGGCTTAAAATTTGATCCAGGGTGTGGACAGGAGAAGAGGACCCAGCACACCCATTCAACCCACATTCAACTGTGTGAGCCACCAAGCTTTACTCTCTATCAGTTTCTTGCTCTGTCAGATGGAAGTAGTTTGTTACTGATGGACTGGTGTTTGGGATTAAAGGTACTTGGCTACCTAAGGGCCTGAACTTGGGGTTCCTGGGAGTCAACAACAGTGGCTTTCTAAAGCTGTCCTGGTAACTAAGGAATAGTATCAGCTATTCTGTGATGCTGCTCAACGCGAAACTTCCAAAGAGCACTCACTTACAGCTTGAGTCTTGTATCTGCATTCAAGAGCTTCAGTAAACTAACTGGTTTCCAGGAGCACTATGATGGAGGATGGTAAAGCTGGCTAAAGCTGAAGAAGATCATGCTGCTGAAATCCCAGTTACTGAAGGCTTCTGTTGGTTGAAAAGTCTTTCCTGAGTTAGTATATAATAATGGTCACATAGCTCCAAAAATAAAAGCCAGGATAGTTCTCATTCAGATGGATCCTTACATGCAGAACTACTGATGATATGCTATATACTATCTTTATATCCAATTCTCCTTCTAGGATATTAGAATACTCTATTAAGTAAACTAAGTTGAACTTCCAGCTGCTGCTGATCTCAGCTCAAAAATATAATTAGCTAGGTCTGTGTGATCATGTGAGGTGCTGAGCTAACTCAGTATGTTTCTCATGATGTTTCTAAACATGCCACAGTGCTAATAAGCACAGGATAACTGGTAACAGGGGCTGATACAACAAGGTGTCTGTTGTCTGCTTGACTAAGGACACAGCGAACATTAGCTGGGTATCAGAGATGAGGAGAAAGATAACTGCTTTGAAACAGTTATAAATATTCTGCCTTCTGAAAGGGCTGTTTGGGATGTTGCCTTGTGTTTGAATGACACCTCATTGCCATTTTAAAGAAACACCAAATGGAAGAGGGTCTCAGAGCCTTACCACACATCCCAGCTGATGCCTCTCCAAAGAGCCATCCAAGAGAGGCACTACCAGAATAGAACTGTCACCTATCAGCAGGGCCAATGCAATGCTCCCTAGCAGACATGGAATTTCATACCATGATATCCCTTGATTTCCAATGCTAGTCATGGCACTTCTCAAGCTGGAGCTATAGCTGCTTTCCTCCTCCCTTTTTTTTTATTTTTTGTTTGTTTTTTTGTTTGTTTGTTTGGTTGGTTGGTTGGTTGGTTGGTTGAGGGGTTTTTGTTTTTGTTTTTCAAGTTGACCAAAGAAAGGAGCAAGAAGAGACAAAAATGGATAGAAGTGAGAATTTATTATAATCAAATCTTTTTTAGTTAGACTATTACTGCCTCTTGTATATCTTCACAAACAAGTTTCTGGATGCAGGATGCCTATTGAGACAACTAATACTATTAACTCTATTTTATCCAGGTCAGACCAAAAAAAAAAAATGCAAAAGGCCATATTCTTCACTGTATTTGCAATTCCCATTGCACCATGTATGCCCTGGAGAGCAAATCTACAACTTTGTGGAAGCATTAACACATTTTTGGTTAATTTTATGTTCATATTTCTTTCTTCCTACTCACATTACATATTCCTACCCCCTACAGAGTAGGACACAAAAGACTTCTGGGAAACTGGGCTCTGCCTTTTCACAAAAGGAGGACAGATGTGCCCCGAAGCCCTCCTACACGATACCAACTGCTGTGCATTCAACAGACCTGCTGGTTAATGATCTTGCCCATAAGTAATGTTTTAACCATAGAGTAGTTTTTGTTTGCTTCAAAAGCCACAAAGCCAAAGAGGAAGTGTAGGAGAACGTGGGCAGGACGGCGGCCAGGAGCCTCATGACCTCATCTTTTTCCGCCACATGGGGATTGGTGGCTGTGCTTGGGACAGGGTTTAAATTCCCGAAGGTCAGAGATGTCAGGCAGTCAGGGGACAAGGGGAGAAAGCCAGAGCTTCTGGAAGCCAACTGACTGGAACTGCTGCTGGGATCACTAGGAGTGCTCTTGCTGCAGCTGACTCCTCCAGCATCAGAAAAGGTAATTTTTGGGTTTTTTTTACCTGACGTGCTAATCTGTCTGCAGCTTTAGTCAAGGAAACATTGAGCAGGAGATCTTTGAAAATTGCTTCACTGGGCAGGGACATTTGATATTTCTCTGTGGGAAAAGGTGTGCTTTTATAGGAGCAAGGTTGTTTCAGCAATTCAAGGTATTATACATAATGACAATTTTAAACCTGTGTGCTTATAGATGTCAGGAGGAGGTTACTGAGAACTCTGCCACTGAATCATGTGCTGGAAACTCAAAGCTCGTGCTTGAACACAGAAAGCTTTCTCCCTCATGAAACCACTGCCTGGCAGTGTGCTTGTTTCTTCTGGCAGGCTCACAGTTTGTGCTGCACAATCCTGAATGGATGGGACACTCGTCCTTCTCTGTGTAACTTGAAATTGTAATACCTCTAGTAGAGTATCCTGTCTCAGGGCCAGCCTTACTAATGCATTTTAAATATGTCCTAAGTAGCTTTTCTTTCGTGCTATGATTTACCAAAGTTCTAAATTACTCTTGTTCATCAGTGAATTGGTTTAATTACTCAGGGATATTCCTTATCCTGGAAACTGGTCTGTAAGCACTAAAATTTACTGTAGCTCAGCATTCTCCTAATTTCAGCAGGAATCAGTCATGTATTAAATTGTTAAAACTGCAATGTGAGCAGATAGTTCACTTTATCTCTTGTTTGGAAACACAGGTTATTTCATTCAAACTTCTGGAGGGGGAAATAGAGATCTATCAATAAAAGCAGTTTATGTTTATAGAAACTCATATTGAGTTTCTGACTTTACTCAGAAACTCAATAACCCTGAAAACTGGTTTTAACATAACTGACAGAAGAATCCAAGCTGAATGTGCTTTATCCTGTCTCTTCTGAGAAAAAAATATGTTAAATGAATGAAGATAAACCAAAGCTGATATTTATAATACTTTGTCTCTCACAAAGCTTTTCCTTTGTCTGTGCAAGTCATTAGGTGACAGGATTCAGTTCACCTTCTCAATGTGGCTATTCTCACCACTGCTCAGCTCTTCTCAGAACCTCTTAAAAACTCTTGTAGCTTTTGAATAGCTAAGTCATGATAAACTGTCTAGGGATGTGGTGGTAATGGATGACAAATGAAAAAAAACTAGCATGGGCAGGTTGAATCCATAGCAGGGAGCTGTTCTCAGCACAGTGAAGTACACTGGGAAAAAAGAAAAGCCTATGGCATTTTTGTGGTACTTTACCTGGTTGACTCATTGTTCCAAATTATTTTCTAGGTAAAACATCGCAATGAAGGTGGTAGTTCTGTCTTTATGCCTTATCAGCATCACCGCTGCATGGCCAGTGAGTAAATCACAAATGTGGATCAGCAGTCACTAGTGTTATTTTCTTTGCATACTAGTGAGAAATACTGATAAATGCTTTTTCTTTTCTCCCTTCAAGGTGAATAAATCCAAGCAGCATGCCACTTCTGCCAGCTCCGAAGAAAAATATGTAAGCTCCTTTTGTCTTTCTTTTAATTTTCTTTAATAAATACTTTTTGAATTTATTTTGTTTGTTTCCTCTAATACATATTTTCTGGTACTTGTTTTATGATTGTAGATGCTTGCAGGGCATGTCCTCACCTGGCTGTTAGGAGCCAGTTTCATAGACTTTTTCTTGTGTCAGGTGTCCTGGTTGAGGACTTTCATTAGTTCTATCTCTAGACCAGCACTGGAAACCTTTTTTCTTAATGAAAAATGTGTTAGTTGACAGTTAAGAAGAGAAAAGGACTGTAGTACGGCACAACTACTACAATCCACATTTGTTAGTGTGGATCAGATGACAGTACTTGGTGTTAGAAGAACACTCCAATACAATTCCCATGATTCTTTGGAGCGATGTAAATAAACTGTATTAATTTTGTGCGTAGCTATTTGATTTATACTCCATTGCCGGCTGCTACCCATGTAAAATCAATTATTTTCTCTGAGAATCAGCTACTGCATTTAGTTTAGAGTCTTCATGATGAGGGAGATAAATCACCCTTGGGAAAAGGACCCGAGAATTAGCAGAAACAATAATTGTTAGATATAACTTCAAATTCCACTCAACAAAAACAAGGTGGAAAAACTGACCTGAAATTCCCCAGGCTCTGCCAACGGAAGAGGCACATCTTCTATATTATTTTGTTTGGGTATAATGTTCATCTGGGACCATGCCTTGTTCTGAGTCCTCTTCCTACTGAATAGCTGAGGGCACATCCTGTGCAAAATGAGTATGTATTGCAGATGCCACATCTGCCTGAAAACAGAGGTTGTGATGCAGGCAGCTTTGCCCAATCCTTTGTGGACTAACCTGCACCTCCTTCCCTTTATTTTCTCTCAAAGGACCCCAGGGGCCATGACTTGCACAGGTATCACCACGGCCACGTGAATTCTCAGTCTTGGGAGAGTCAGCAGCGCCCACAGACCGACCTGGATTCACCTCAGCAGGTATGAGCAGCTAACTGGAAGAGAAAGCAGATCATCTTTCCAGGCCAAGATGTACAAGTGCTTAAACAATAGTCAGCATGCTGATCATCTCTACCTTATGTGCCTTTTCATACTAATAGGGAGTTTTATGTTGCTTTCAGACCCTTTACTCCTCAGAAGAAAGCGTGGATGTCCCAGTGGAACCAGTAAGTGTTTTGAACGACAAAATGTCAATTGGGTGCTACAGGGCAGCCAGTGTGTAGCAACACTCATTTTCCTCATTCAAGTGCAGTTCTTGCACTAGCATCTCTCCCTAAATAGCATCTCCTCCTTAGGCAGGGTGAGGTGAATTCAGAGAAATGCCTGCACATAGCTCCTCAACGCTGCATAAGCCCTGGGCTAGCAGGACAGATACCAGTCTGCACATCTCACATCTGTGTTCATTTGCCTGATGCATAATAAATGTTTTCCAGCACTTTCCTGATGTGTCAAGCAAGAGCCATGAAGATGTGGACGACAACGACGACGACGATGATAATGATTCCAATGACACAGATGAATCCGATGAGGTTGTCACAGGTTTTCCCACAGACATTCCAGTAACTGTACCATTCCCTCCATTCCCTTTCACCCGGGGAGACAACGCCGGCAGAGGCGACAGCGTGGCCTACAGGATGAAGGCAAAAGCCGCACTGGTGAAGTATATCAAGCTCCGCAAAGCTGCAAAAAAGGTAAACAGCACTGAGCAGTGGTACCCATGTTTTTGGAAATGGGTGGTGAACTTGAAGATGGACATGTCATTTTATGGGAGTCAGCTTTGAGAAAAATCGGTGGGGGGAAAGTAGGCATAAGCAAAGGAATGTATTTTCCCTTCTCTGTATACCCCAAATCAGGGGGTGTTGGTGGTGCCAAGGCAAGACTGTAGCCTGCTGCTGCAAAGTGTGCAATACTGCAATGATGTACTTGCACATATGAAATCTGAGGACAGGATCAAACACTGGTTTCTCATAATGTGAAAAGGTAATGTAACTCCAGAAAAGTTAGTGTTTCCAGGCAGAGATGTATTATGAAAGCTTGGAGTGTCCCCTCAGCCCGAACAGCTTTAGTGCAGTAGGGCAGCACTTGTTGATAGATAATTTCCCAGGAGTGACAGTGGCTCTTGCTTTGCTCTCTAACACAGCTCATGTATGATGCCACTGAGGAAGATGAGAGCGACCTGGATGCAGACAGCCAGCGAGCAGGGTCCTCCCGGGAGGATTCTGCTTCCCGACGCTCCCTGGAGAAGCATGCCATCAGCGTGGAATGGTCTGACAAGAGCCACGGACATGACAGCAGCGAGCAGGACAGCAATCAGCCTGACCGGAGCATGGAAAACGACAGCCGGCAGAAATTCGACAGCCGTGAGGCAGAAGTCGATGATAGCAAGTCTGCTGTCATAGGGGACAGTCTCCCGAGCGCGGAAAGCAGGGAAAGCCAGGTCCGCGTTTCATCTGAGGTTTCTGACGACAACAGCAACCAAAAACTTGAGAGCGCTGAGGATTCTCAAGACCGCCACAGCATAGAAAATAACGAAGTCACCCTTTAAAAAGGGAGGCAAAAGTTGCGTTTCCATTCTTTTTCAGTCCCTGGCTAATAGGAGCGGGGCGTAGCTTCATTTCGGGTCAGTGTTTGTTTAATGTAGTTCGCCTGGTGAAATTCTCGGGTTCGGGGCGGTCCATGACCCGGTGGCCTCCCCTGGGCCACCAGCAGAGGCTGCGGGACACACGGGGCGAGGGTCGCGCCGCTCTCTGCGCTGCCGGGCGGTGTCTTGCTCTGTAACGGGATTTAAATAAAACCACAAAACCCTCTCTACCTGCGGGCTGCGTTACTGTTTGCTGGGTCGGGGCCGGGCGTGGGTAGCTTTATTAACTCTCCTTAAAATGACGTGAAATCGCTGTTCCCACCAAATTTAAGGAGTAAAACCTCTTCGTGGGGCTTCCTCCTGCTCTCACCGAGGGTGGGCGGCGAGCGGGACTCGCACGCCCGGCGCCGGCCCCTGCCCCGCTACCGCAGGGGCGGTCCGGGTCTGCCCGCCGCACGGCTCGGCTGAGCGCTTCCAGCCTTGCAGAGGGGAGGGAAGGGTGGGAGGAGTGCAGGAGGAGGAGGGCGGGAAGGAGGTCCCGGCCACCGCTCCCGCCGGGAGCCAGGGCG